CACCACACGAGAAGTACTTCGGAGTTTCATTGAGAAAATAACCTTTTCAAAGCTTAAAAATTGTGAAATGACTCGATAGAATCCAAACACAACTTTTTAGGTACCCTATTAGCAATAGTAGAACTCCCCTCTAGGCAAAGTTTAAGATATGTGCATATATTTTTTCTGGTCAGAATAAATTACGCATAAATGCGTAACTGGTAAACAAAGGGTTAATGGAATGGAAGTCAGTAAACAGCAAGATTCTAGCACGATTAAAGGGTGGGCAGACTAACTTGTCCATCATACAATGCTATGCACCTACTAATGACAGCAATGACAGAGATAAAGCCTTCTATGAGCAGCTCCAGGTGGCACTTGAGAATGTCCATCGTAGGGACCTCCTGCTGGTGATAGGTGACCTTAATGCCAAGGTGGGTTCAGACAATGTGAATTTTGAAAGACTAATGGGAAGAGAAGGATGTGGAGTTCAGAATGGTGATGGAGAGAGGCTGGTAGAGTGGTGTGCATTCAATAACATGAACATCAGTGGACCTTTATTCCCGCATCGCAACATTCACAAACTCACCTGGACATCCCCCTGGTGGGATCAAAACAAATAGACCATCTCATGGTTAACAGCATGTGACACCGCTCCCTGCTTGATGTAAGAGTAAGAAGAGGGGCTGACGTAAGCAGTGATCGTCATCTTGTGACTGCAAAGGTGAGGCTGAAACTCAGAGCAGCTTGGCCACACAAACACATTACCCCCAGATATGACATCAGACGACAAGACCCTAGGACTAAAAATGCCTTTGTCCTACAGCTGAGGAACAGGTTCCAAGCCTTGAGTAACATAGACGAGTAAGACATTGGAGAAGAAGACACTGTAAATCAACAGTAGAAGCAAGTGAGGAACATCTCTGATGAAGCAAGTAAAACCTTTCTGGGAATGCTGAAGACTAGAAAAAAAAGAATGGATTACACCAGACACATGGCAGGCTATCGAGGAGAAGCATCAGCTGAAGAAGAAGAAGATAAATGAGAGCAGATCAGCGAGACTTCAAGTGAAGTATAGGGCAGCATATGCAGAAACCAACAGGTGTGTCAAAAGAGAGATCCAAACTGACAAAAAGGCATACCTGGTATATGTAAGAGGTGGCAAAGGAAAGAGAGGAAGCGGCTCAAAAGGGAGAGCAAAGGAATGTCTATAAAATCACTGAATTGATCTGTGAAAAATATAGTGGCAGCAGAAATGCCCCCATACGAGATAAACAAGGGCAGCTTCTCACCTCTGAAAAAGACCAAGAAGCATGTTGGGTAGAGCATTTCAAGGAAGTCCTCACTAGGCCAACACCAGAAGTGGAGTGTGATATACTAGAAGCTGAGGAGGACCTAAGTGTTGACACTGGACCACCCAAGACAGAAGAGATCATTGTGGCCATTAATTCTCTAAAAAAATACAAGGCACCTGGCAACAATCGCGTCAATGCTGAGCTGTTCAAGGCAGACACTGACCACCCCAAGCATCTTGCAACCACTTTTCAACACCATATGGGACAGAAGAAAATCCCTGATGACTGGAATCAGGGTATCATCATTAAGATACCGAAGAAAGGAGCTCTGTCTGAATGTAGCAACTGGCATGGGATTACATTATTATCCACTCCTAGTAAGATCTTAGTGAAAGTCATCATGAAGCGCCTATCATTAGCTGTGGACCTTAAACTCCACGAGGAACAGGCAGGTTTCAGGAGAGGAAGGGGTTGTATTGATCATATTTTCACGCCGAGAAATATCATTGAACAGAGTACCAAATGGCAGCAAACTCTCTATGTGAACTTTGTAGATTTTCCCAAGGCCCTCGACAGCGTATACCGGCACAGCATCTGGAAGATACTATGAATGTTGGAATCCCCTCCCAACTTACTGAGATCATCAAAAGTTTCTATGACAACTTTACCTGCTGTGTTGGTGCTGTTGGTGCTGGTAACGTCTTATTTGAAGTCCACAATGGTGTCAGAGAGGGTTGTGTCTTGTCCACATTGCTTTTCCACCTTGTTGTGGACTAGATCATGCATCGCACCACTGAGGATCATATCAGGGGCATCAGATGGACACCCTTTTCCTATTTGGAAGACCTGGATTATGCTGATGATCAAGCCTTATTATCACACACCCACACGCACGTTCAAGAGAAGACACAATGCCTTAACACCTTTGCAAAGCAAGTTGGCCTCAACATCAGCAGCAAGAAGACCAAAATTATGGCACTGAGTACTACCAACACACGACCAGTCCAGACAGATTTACCTATCTGCGGCAGCATCATCAGTAGAGATGGAGAAACTGACCTGGACATCCAATGCCGTCTCAACAAGGCCAGAAACGCGCTCCTCCACCTACAGTACTCTTACTAAGCTGAAACTATCACAGCTGTGTCCTCACAACTCTCCTGTATGGGTTAGAATGTTGGTGCTTAACAGAGGAGGATTTATCAAAACTCTCCACATTTCACACCAAGAGCCTTCAGCATATCCTACACATCTTCTGGCCTAACGTCATCTGAAGTGAAGATCTCTTTGATTAGTGTGGAACCGAACCAATGGCTACCATCCTGATGAGGAGACGGTGGACGTGGATTGCCCATGCCACCTGTCAAGTGCTTCCATTGCGAAAACTGCTTTACATTGGATGCCAGAAGGGAAACACAAGAGGGGCTGCCCCAAGATCACCTGGCAACAGACTTGCTTTACTTACTTTTACTTAGAAAGAAATTAAGGAGATGGGGAAGACCTGGGGAGGCATCAAGCTTAAGGCAAGAGACTAGCCGATATGGAGGGAGCATGTTGCTGCCCTACATGCCACCTAGGCGTAAGGGGCATGAGTGAGTGACCTTCTGCATGTTCAAGGCCTTCAAGCAGTCTTATTCGGAAAGGTGTATGAGAGCGATAGGGCAGGCACCAATGGTGGCATTCAGGAAACCGAAGAGTTTGGCGGACTATTTGGTTTGAGCAAAAGTAAACAGAGGGTGCGGAGAGGATACACAACGGGGGACTTGTCAGTGTGGGTCAAAATGAGAAGTCTGCGATTATATCAATGAAAGAGACCACTTCATGAGTTCTCTACAGGAAGGAGATATTCCACTAATTATAGCCTTAATTGTAACTCGAGCAATGCAGTCTACTTGCTAACTTGCAGGAAATGTGCATTACAGTATGTTGGATCTACTGTAACGAAGTTTTGCTTAAGGTTCAATTATCATAAGGCCAGAATAAGACGACATGGGAGATTGAATGGAACAGAGCAAGAGAAGGATGACTTCCTGTATAAGCACTTTTGTGGGGATGGACATGATGTCTTGAGGGATGTCAGAATTCAATTGATAGATCAAGTGAATGGAGAGGAAGAACTGAGGGACAAAGAAGGCCAATGGGCCTATAAACTGAATACTTTGCTTCCTTATGGGCTTAATGACAATGATTTTTCTTTGCTCAGAACACATGTTCAAGAAGCACATAACTTATTGTGTACTTGTGTCGGCGTGCGTGGTAGATTAGTTGCGCGCAGGTGTTTGTCAAGGTTGTTACTTTTAAAAGTAGAATCACACGTGCAGTTTTAACAGCTCATTTACCCTGAGGAAGACTGTTGTAGGCAGTTGAAATATAGGTGTGCTATGAAATTGTGTGGTTTGTCTTCATTTGTGATAGTATATATGTATATATGTACTAAGGGCAAATTTTCTTTCAAAAATTTATTCACTTTTATATATATGTATAGACTTGCAAAGTTGGATTATTTGTTTCAAGACATTAATTGCTACTCAGAGTTTCATGCTCCTGGCAAAGCAATCATCAGGCAGCTGCCAAAAATAACGGATACATAAGAAGACATACAAAATTTGAAAATACAGAACAATGCCTAGTGGCATGACATGCAGAGATGTGATTGGTAAAGCTAAGTGAGAACGGTCTTTAACAGGAATTTCTTAGAATGTCTACAATTAGATGTCAGTTCGTTTCTGTTGTTCAGTGTTGACATTTTGGGTTTACGGATAATAAATATTTTTTCCCATAAACATAAATTACATCTCTTGCTTACATTAGAATATGATTGGGCCTGTTTTACCTTCCGCCATTTGATGTTATACAAAATACTCTTATCCTTTAGGCTTCGAACATATTTGCGTAATTCTGTAGTATGCTTATACCACTTGTTCTTAAATGAGCATACATGGTTTCTGTATCTCAACTTAAAAGATGTATCACAAAGACCAATGTATGTCTCTCCTGAAGTTGATGTCTTGACTTCAGGTTGGTAAATCAGGTTTTGGTCACTTGAGTTCCGGCATTTACTATTGCTATCATTGGTGGGATCAGATTTATTAATGCATTCTCGGTCTGACGATATTTCTGAAAGCCGTTTGTTGATGGAATGCGAGATGTTTTTCAGGATAGATGGTGAATGTTTGGATTTCTTGTGCACATACAATGAGACGNACAAATAAGTCTAAACGCTAAGGCGACCCCTTGCTCGCTTTCTAGGTCTGCCATGCACTGTTCCCCTGACCACATCAGCATCACCACGGTCTTCGTCATGATAGTAATAGTTTTCCAGGGTGTGAAACCTTTCAAAACAAGGTGCAGGACACATCCTAATGTGGCAAACAGAACATGCATATTGGGTATCAACATGCTACATATGCACTTTGCAGTGGGATCTGGTAGGCATTGATACTGGAAAGTGGCCCAGTGAGAGGTTGAATCTTCCTTCATCTGGCAAGGATGGATTGTTCTGTTGCTTTCTGCGATAAACACGTCCCCCTATTAGCTTCTCAATAAGTTCCTGGCAGAAAGGGAGCATCTGCCGAGCCTTTTGTGTTGTCGGGGGGTTGTGATGTGGGCTCTTTCTTTCTAAAAGGTAAGCATTCATGATTGCCACTTCCACAAAATAGAAGAACAACTTCATGTACCAAACATAGCTTTTGGTGTTGCGATGATAGCTTCTTACTCTCTGGTCAGCTAGATCCGCTCCTCCTGTGAACTTGTTGTATAACTCCACAGTAACTGGCCTCTGGACTGCTTCTTCTTCTTCTTTTTGACCGCTCGTGTTACTGTCGAACACTCACTAGTGGCCGGCATTGTTGTCAACAAGTGAACAAACTTGTTGTCCTTCCATGTGCAAGCAGTGAGTCTGCCTTTCTTCCTAAATACACACTGTCCCCTTTTCATGGACTTGATCTCTTTGTCTTTGATGTTCATAATATCACCAGGTAAGCCTTTCCTGCCAGCTCGCACAGTGCCACAAGCCAGAGTCTTCTCCTTTGCCAAATCAAGGAACAGTGCAGGACTTGAATACCAATTGTCCACAAAAAGATTGTAGCCCTTTCCTTCAAGTCCTTCTAATAGCTTCATTGCAACATGGTGAGCCACCCCTTTCTCAGGATCATGACCAGTCTTGCCAGTGTACACGAGTAGATCCCAGACATACCCACTTGATGACTCAGAAAGAGTAAAGTTTTTTACTCCAAATCGACCGGGTTTGTTTGGCAAGAACTGACGAAACCCAACTCTTCCCTTGAATTTTACAAGTGTTTCATCAATAGCAATATTCCTTTCAAGGTTCAGTGCTCCTTGAATGTTTCTTCTAATGATATTCAACAAGTCTCTGATTTTATAGAGTTTGTCATAATCAGGACTGTCCTTTGGCAATTTAGCAACCTCACTTTCGTTGTCAACAAAATGCAGATAACGCAAGATTTGAAGAAACCATGTTCTAGTCATAACTGCAGCAATACCTGGGGTATTTGTCAGGGTGGACTGGCCCCAGTAATCCACTAGTGAAGGTTGCTGCACAATCCCCATTGAAAGGTACAAACCAAACCAGGTTTTGAACTCCTCAATAGTGAGGGCAGTCCAGGGCGTCTTTTGGTTGCGAGGCTCTTTTCATTGTTGAGTGGCATACTGATTGGTCTCAGTTACGATGAGATTGTAAAGATCATCGGTAAATATCAGTTCAAAGAAATCCAAGGCTGACTTGTTTGGCAACATTCTTACCTTCAGGCCCACGGAACTCTCGTCAAAATCAGTCATTGTGAGTAATGACATCCGATCTCCACTCCTCACTGTCAGATTCATCTTCCTCTTCATCAGAAGGCATTTCGAACTGTTCTTCATCTTCTGACTCTTCTGAACGAGTAAGAAGACAGGCAAGCGGTAAGTTGTCCTTGAATTCCTCTTGATCAAATTCAAGATTTTCATCGCTTTCCACGTCAGAATCTCCAAAAATTTGCTGAATTACACAATCAGCGTCATCTGAATCCTCAGCGTCCATTTTTAAAGCACCACACGAGAAGTACTTCGGAGTTTCATTGAGAAAATAACCTTTTCAAAGCTTAAAAATTGTGAAATGACTCGATAGAATCCAAACACAACTTTTTAGGTACCCTATTAGCAATAGTAGAACTCCCCTCTAGGCAAAGTTTAAGATATGTGCATATATTTTTTCTGGTCAGAATAAATTACGCATAAATGCGTAACTGGTAAACAAAGGGTTAATGGAATGGAAGTCAGTAAACAGCAAGATTCTAGCACGATTAAAGGGTGGGCAGACTAACTTGTCCATCATACAATGCTATGCACCTACTAATGACAGCAATGACAGAGATAAAGCCTTCTATGAGCAGCTCCAGGTGGCACTTGAGAATGTCCATCGTAGGGACCTCCTGCTGGTGATAGGTGACCTTAATGCCAAGGTGGGTTCAGACAATGTGAATTTTGAAAGACTAATGGGAAGAGAAGGATGTGGAGTTCAGAATGGTGATGGAGAGAGGCTGGTAGAGTGGTGTGCATTCAATAACATGAACATCAGTGGACCTTTATTCCCGCATCGCAACATTCACAAACTCACCTGGACATCCCCCTGGTGGGATCAAAACAAATAGACCATCTCATGGTTAACAGCATGTGACACCGCTCCCTGCTTGATGTAAGAGTAAGAAGAGGGGCTGACGTAAGCAGTGATCGTCATCTTGTGACTGCAAAGGTGAGGCTGAAACTCAGAGCAGCTTGGCCACACAAACACATTACCCCCAGATATGACATCAGACGACAAGACCCTAGGACTAAAAATGCCTTTGTCCTACAGCTGAGGAACAGGTTCCAAGCCTTGAGTAACATAGACGAGTAAGACATTGGAGAAGAAGACACTGTAAATCAACAGTAGAAGCAAGTGAGGAACATCTCTGATGAAGCAAGTAAAACCTTTCTGGGAATGCTGAAGACTAGAAAAAAAAGAATGGATTACACCAGACACATGGCAGGCTATCGAGGAGAAGCATCAGCTGAAGAAGAAGAAGATAAATGAGAGCAGATCAGCGAGACTTCAAGTGAAGTATAGGGCAGCATATGCAGAAACCAACAGGTGTGTCAAAAGAGAGATCCAAACTGACAAAAAGGCATACCTGGTATATGTAAGAGGTGGCAAAGGAAAGAGAGGAAGCGGCTCAAAAGGGAGAGCAAAGGAATGTCTATAAAATCACTGAATTGATCTGTGAAAAATATAGTGGCAGCAGAAATGCCCCCATACGAGATAAACAAGGGCAGCTTCTCACCTCTGAAAAAGACCAAGAAGCATGTTGGGTAGAGCATTTCAAGGAAGTCCTCACTAGGCCAACACCAGAAGTGGAGTGTGATATACTAGAAGCTGAGGAGGACCTAAGTGTTGACACTGGACCACCCAAGACAGAAGAGATCATTGTGGCCATTAATTCTCTAAAAAAATACAAGGCACCTGGCAACAATCGCGTCAATGCTGAGCTGTTCAAGGCAGACACTGACCACCCCAAGCATCTTGCAACCACTTTTCAACACCATATGGGACAGAAGAAAATCCCTGATGACTGGAATCAGGGTATCATCATTAAGATACCGAAGAAAGGAGCTCTGTCTGAATGTAGCAACTGGCATGGGATTACATTATTATCCACTCCTAGTAAGATCTTAGTGAAAGTCATCATGAAGCGCCTATCATTAGCTGTGGACCTTAAACTCCACGAGGAACAGGCAGGTTTCAGGAGAGGAAGGGGTTGTATTGATCATATTTTCACGCCGAGAAATATCATTGAACAGAGTACCAAATGGCAGCAAACTCTCTATGTGAACTTTGTAGATTTTCCCAAGGCCCTCGACAGCGTATACCGGCACAGCATCTGGAAGATACTATGAATGTTGGAATCCCCTCCCAACTTACTGAGATCATCAAAAGTTTCTATGACAACTTTACCTGCTGTGTTGGTGCTGTTGGTGCTGGTAACGTCTTATTTGAAGTCCACAATGGTGTCAGAGAGGGTTGTGTCTTGTCCACATTGCTTTTCCACCTTGTTGTGGACTAGATCATGCATCGCACCACTGAGGATCATATCAGGGGCATCAGATGGACACCCTTTTCCTATTTGGAAGACCTGGATTATGCTGATGATCAAGCCTTATTATCACACACCCACACGCACGTTCAAGAGAAGACACAATGCCTTAACACCTTTGCAAAGCAAGTTGGCCTCAACATCAGCAGCAAGAAGACCAAAATTATGGCACTGAGTACTACCAACACACGACCAGTCCAGACAGATTTACCTATCTGCGGCAGCATCATCAGTAGAGATGGAGAAACTGACCTGGACATCCAATGCCGTCTCAACAAGGCCAGAAACGCGCTCCTCCACCTACAGTACTCTTACTAAGCTGAAACTATCACAGCTGTGTCCTCACAACTCTCCTGTATGGGTTAGAATGTTGGTGCTTAACAGAGGAGGATTTATCAAAACTCTCCACATTTCACACCAAGAGCCTTCAGCATATCCTACACATCTTCTGGCCTAACGTCATCTGAAGTGAAGATCTCTTTGATTAGTGTGGAACCGAACCAATGGCTACCATCCTGATGAGGAGACGGTGGACGTGGATTGCCCATGCCACCTGTCAAGTGCTTCCATTGCGAAAACTGCTTTACATTGGATGCCAGAAGGGAAACACAAGAGGGGCTGCCCCAAGATCACCTGGCAACAGACTTGCTTTACTTACTTTTACTTAGAAAGAAATTAAGGAGATGGGGAAGACCTGGGGAGGCATCAAGCTTAAGGCAAGAGACTAGCCGATATGGAGGGAGCATGTTGCTGCCCTACATGCCACCTAGGCGTAAGGGGCATGAGTGAGTGACCTTCTGCATGTTCAAGGCCTTCAAGCAGTCTTATTCGGAAAGGTGTATGAGAGCGATAGGGCAGGCACCAATGGTGGCATTCAGGAAACCGAAGAGTTTGGCGGACTATTTGGTTTGAGCAAAAGTAAACAGAGGGTGCGGAGAGGATACACAACGGGGGACTTGTCAGTGTGGGTCAAAATGAGAAGTCTGCGATTATATCAATGAAAGAGACCACTTCATGAGTTCTCTACAGGAAGGAGATATTCCACTAATTATAGCCTTAATTGTAACTCGAGCAATGCAGTCTACTTGCTAACTTGCAGGAAATGTGCATTACAGTATGTTGGATCTACTGTAACGAAGTTTTGCTTAAGGTTCAATTATCATAAGGCCAGAATAAGACGACATGGGAGATTGAATGGAACAGAGCAAGAGAAGGATGACTTCCTGTATAAGCACTTTTGTGGGGATGGACATGATGGCTTGAGGGATGTCAGAATTCAATTGATAGATCAAGTGAATGGAGAGGAAGAACTGAGGGACAAAGAAGGCCAATGGGCCTATAAACTGAATACTTTGCGTCCTTATGGGCTTAATGACAATGATTTTTCTTTGCTCAGAACACATGTTCAAGAAGCACATAACTTATTGTGTACTTGTGTCGGCGTGCGTGGTAGATTAGTTGCGCGCAGGTGTTTGTCAAGGTTGTTACTTTTAAAAGTAGAATCACACGTGCAGTTTTAACAGCTCATTTACCCTGAGGAAGACTGTTGTAGGCAGTTGAAATATAGGTGTGCTATGAAATTGTGTGGTTTGTCTTCATTTGTGATAGTATATATGTATATATGTACTAAGGGCAAATTTTCTTTCAAAAATTTATTCACTTTTATATATATGTATAGACTTGCAAAGTTGGATTATTTGTTTCAAGACATTAATTGCTACTCAGAGTTTCATGCTCCTGGCAAAGCAATCATCAGGCAGCTGCCAAAAATAACGGATACATAAGAAGACATACAAAATTTGAAAATACAGAACAATGCCTAGTGGCATGACATGCAGAGATGTGATTGGTAAAGCTAAGTGAGAACGGTCTTTAACAGGAATTTCTTAGAATGTCTACAATTAGATGTCAGTTCGTTTCTGTTGTTCAGTGTTGACATTTTGGGTTTACGGATAATAAATATTTTTTCCCATAAACATAAATTACATCTCTTGCTTACATTAGAATATGATTGGGCCTGTTTTACCTTCCGCCATTTGATGTTATACAAAATACTCTTATCCTTTAGGCTTCGAACATATTTGCGTAATTCTGTAGTATGCTTATACCACTTGTTCTTAAATGAGCATACATGGTTTCTGTATCTCAACTTAAAAGATGTATCACAAAGACCAATGTATGTCTCTCCTGAAGTTGATGTCTTGACTTCAGGTTGGTAAATCAGGTTTTGGTCACTTGAGTTCCGGCATTTACTATTGCTATCATTGGTGGGATCAGATTTATTAATGCATTCTCGGTCTGACGATATTTCTGAAAGCCGTTTGTTGATGGAATGCGAGATGTTTTTCAGGATAGATGGTGAATGTTTGGATTTCTTGTGCACATACAATGAGACGTTACCTTCCTTAGTGTATGGATAGTGTTTGCCACTCTGCAGGTCAAGCATGACGTCTAGAAAATTTACGATGGTTTTGTTTGCTTCTATCGTTATCTTTAAGTCATTTTCATGGAAAATCTTGCACAGTTCTTTTTGATCTTTTCAATTTCTTGTGGTGTTTTGTTAAAGGCCGCTAGACCATCGTCGCGATAGAGACCAATGTTTTGGCCATACTTTTCGGCAAGAAGGGATAATAGGTAGCAGCCAACCAATTCGCACATTTCAGCACCATCAAAAGAACCCATGGTAACATCGAAAAGATCATTTGAAGATTTTTTCTCCCATGAGCAATCGTTGCTGAACAACAGTGAGCATTTTCCATGTAAGATGATGTTGCACTCATCTCTGCTGATGAGTCAGTACTTGCTGGCGAAGTCAGGGGCCTTTCAGAGCAACTTTTCATTGATCAAGTGATAAAATTCACATCCATAGAAACATATGAACAAGAGTTTCTCTTTATTCTCTAAGCTGTTAAACCATTGTAAGATGCTGGCCATGTTCTACTGGTTGATTTGTATGCTGCTGATGATGGCGGAATTAACTTCATCAAGGATGTGCTTTCTAACTACACCAATTTCAGACTTGGAAGGGTCGATAAGGTGGCACGTGGGGTGGTTGTTGAATGCTGGTTTGTGATCTCTCAAGGTAATAAATGCCTCATTCTTTGCTAGCTTTTCAATTCGGTCGTCTATCTATTACTCGTTAAAGACTACAGACTGGTAGTCGAAAGTTCGTTTTAAACAAATTTTTAACCAGAGATTGTTTTTCTAGTTTTCCAAATTACAAACAGTGTAGGAAATATATATTCCTTTATTTTCCTTGATTATTTTATGTAAGTTTCACAAGTTTACCATTTATATAAGTTGATGGTGTACATGTAAAGTCAGTAGCATTTTCCATGTTCACCAGCAATGTTGTAAATACTAAGTAATTAGGCATTGGATGTGCAGTACCGTTAAAGGTTACAATGTGAAGATTTGCAATTTGTCCAAGATCTTTGTTTTCCTTACATGACATTTTCATCGCAGTCAATTCCACCACTTGCCAGTGAATCAGTAGACTCAGAATCATCCTTCTCAGCACCTGTGGCATTGTTCGAGATCCCTTCAATAACCGGAGCAGTTGTTGCTCGTCCCAGAAAAGATTCCATACTCTCCTTCATGCTCTTAATGTCATCAGCAGCTTTCCTTTGTTTCGTGTGTGATGAATGACAAGATTTAAGATGATCTGGACAAAAATGAAAGCAATGACGAAAATAAGGAGTTAATGTTAACATATTTGTTGCAACAACACTATGGAAAATTTTCTAGAGAAACAATCACAAATGATACCACACAAAAACCTACTTGTTGAAAGATATGACACACTCATTGATGTTGTAGATTGCAAGTACATGTATTTCCATAAAACTTATGTTCACTGTAATTTGTCAGAGATCTCAGCTTATTGAGAATCACAGTTTCTTTGCACTCGCACCGCAGAACACGTACATTCGTAACAGTTAGCCCAGGGAACTTTTTCTCTACATCTGTGAAAATTAAATGACAAGAGAGAACAATGTCGAGGAAAAGGTTGTTGTTATTCATCGTGGTAGATGCAATAATAAAGTGTATTATCGTTTGTCTCACGATGTAGTCACTTGAGATGTAGAT